ATGTATATGTATAGCCTGTATCAGATTGCGCGATGTCTTGGGGAGGGAGAGGGAGAAAAATTTAAGACTCAAAAACTTGTGGAAGTGATTGTTGATAAATCAAAATAAATTAATAAAAAAAAAACTACCCCAAGGATATAACTTCTGCTTGGCAGAAGCAGAATCAAGCATCTCGCTAATTTATTTGACTGTGTTCTGATACACATTTAACAACTTTCTGATTCTCAGCAATGTTGCTCTGTGCCAAATACAGTTTTCTAGATGAAATCATAATCTCTTTATTTCGCAGCTCATGTGCATGTGCATTTCAAACTCCAGAGTTTATATACTTTCCCATTGAAATCTTTCCCCTCAGTCTTGATGCTGATTTTCTAGTCTTTAGAACCCTGCCCAGCTGCTACCTCATCATGGAGACTTCTCTCCACGCTTGGGCCTCCTCATCTTGGAATAGCCTTCCGCCCCAGGAACCTGCTCACCCTAGAATATCCCGACACAAGGCCCACCCCCCCTTCTCACATTGGAGAGTTCTTCCTGGAGGGACCCATGCCAACCTGCCTTAATTTCCCTCCCAGCCCTGCTCCTGGCTTTCCGGACTTCAACTGCTCCCCCAACCCCAACTGGGTACCTTCATCCTCCCCTTCCATTTCAGCTCTTTGGGTGCACTGTTCTCTCATTAGAATGTAAGCTCTGTGAGGCCAGGCACTATCTTTGTACTTGACTTTGTATCCCAGTCGGATGGTCTAGCAGAGGGATAAGATATCAGCAGAGATCACCACAATGCATAACCTTATGGGATCACTGAATTCCGTTGGAGTCCAAAACCATAATTTCATTGCTGTAAGGAACTCCTGGTGGGGAAACCCTATAGGGCTCACAAGTCTCAAGTCACATAATCTTGGTTGATCCTCACAAGGACCCTAGGAGATGTGTTGCAAGTATTCTTATGCACACACATCCCCTTCCCAGATGAATGAACAGGTTCGCCACACCGCTGGGAGATAGCAGAGCTGGGTCCTCTGACTCCAAGGGACTCAGCCAGAAATTACAGTCACCGGAAAGCATCTTGGTCGGGGCAAGGCTGAACTTGCTTTGTAAACATTCCTACTTCTGACAAGCAGGACTAGGATCAAAGCATCTTGGGAACCAAGTCTCTGTGCCCGTTCTCCACTAACACGCCACCTTGTGCCTGGTGAAACTGCTGACGTGTTAAAACTGTCTCATGCCGCAGCAACAAGCGTGTGGAACCAAACTCCAATCGAAATGGAGAACTCACATCATCAATTCTCTCGTTATCGTCATCAGCTGTACAACAGCTGAATGCGAGACAAGAGATGTGCGATGTGTGGTCAGCGGCATTTTTGTGCTTGAAACACATCACTGGCTGTAAGAATGATGGTTGTACTAATGATAGTAATAGCAATAATTGGGTAACAGAGCTTGAGGACTGGAAGGGCCCTGAGAGATTCTGTGGTACAGAGTCCTCCTTTCTGAGTCCGTGGATTTGTGATGGGATCTACCAGGTTCCCCTTCCCTCCCATTCACCATTTATTAGGTTAGTTTTTCCATGAAAGGTGACTAAGCTATCCCAGAGACTGAACTGGCTTAGGAGGCAAAGGCATAATCTGGACCTCCCTCCACACAGCTGCCTGGTGGCCCCTGCCTGTACTGCTGTGATTTTTTGTCTATTTAAGGGCATTAAGACATCCTTCACCATGAGTTGAGGCCCTTCAGACTTGGCTGATGTCCTAAGATCACAAGGGTTGCCACCCTCTATCCCACTGACCAAACACATGGCCTCTTTATGAAGGCCAGGGGAGCTGGTCTAACCAAGCTAAGTGTTGTGATATCCTTTCCTTGAGATAGCTGAGTGAATGTCCTTTTGTTAACTGTTAAATGACCTCCAAGTGTCTCATTTGGTTCTAACACTACACCTAAGATCACAGGGGACCAAGCTGAGTTGGGCCGTACCAAACCCCACCCAGGTGATGCCATCGTTGTTCCTCTCCAGACAAGAGTTATGAATCAAAGGACTCTAAGGTCTTTCCAGTTGCTAAAATAAAATACAAGCTTCTTATCCTGGCATCTCAACCACTCCGCAGTCTGGTTCCAAACTACCTCTCCAGACATTTCATGTTGCACTCCATTATGAATTCTATTTTCTATCTAAAATGACCCACTACCTATTCCTCAAACTCTACATTCCAGCTCTCACCTTTGTGAGTTCATACAGAGCACCCTCTTACCCAAGGAATTGGTAATGTAGAGGAGGTAGATGGCTGTAGGACAGTATGGAAATCTTCAATGTATTCTGATCCAAAGTGTCAAGGCTCTGACTGTGTCTGAAAATTCAATATCTTCCTCCTCTCATCCCAAAGGAAGAGAGGAGCAGTAATCTCATAAGAACTGAGGAATGAAGTATGGGTAGCTCTTCAAGTATGATTGCTCTCCAAACAACTGGAGATGGAGACAAAGGAGTTTCTAGGAGCATAGATGATAAAACCAGAGAGATAAAGGAGAGGATGAAAAACCATTACACTGATGGGTGACCAGGATCACTACTGCCACTGCTGCCCTGGTTTAGAGGTTGGGGGATAGGGAGAGACTAGGAAAAGTTCACGCCAATACAGAATGTTGGTGGCTGTCAGTGATGCTGAAATCAATGGAATTCCCTGCCCCTTCCTCTCTGTTCTTTTCCTTACTAAGGCTGTCAGCTAAGCCTATACCTCATTCCTCATTTCTTTAAAAGTGTTCACTTTATGGATTTGCCATGCATTCTCAAAAGAAAGCAGTTTCTCTAATGATGATTAGAGACAAGGAAGGATAATTCCTTGTGTGGGTCTGTCCTTGGGGAGTAAAAGCAGCTGCCTAGGAGGATACGGTCATCCAAGGCACAAAGAGAGCTAGGGAGGTTCTGTTTCTAATCTCTGGGATTGTCCCCAGCTGGGAACTCTCATTAAAAAAAGAAATTTTATTGACATATATTATTATAGCTCTCTGAAAGTAGGGAAAAGACTGAATTAATCGTGACTCATGGTTAGACACAAATGAATCATCAGTGTTATAGTGGACAGAGATTTTGGTAAGGAAAAAAGGAGAAAGAAATGGCCTGGCACCACTCCTCCCCCTCTTTTGTTCTATCCTTAAGCAGGTTCAAGGGAATATCTACCCATGCAGAGTGAAACTCATGGCATTGGATAGAGAGAAAGTAACACTCTGAAGGGAGGCACTGGAAAGAGTGATTTTACCCAAACAAAGATGGCAGCCAGAAAGAGAGAATAGCTCTTTTTCCTTTTCAGCCAAATGCCTCCTGCCCCTCACTGTCATTAAGCACACAAGCCATCCCCTCATGCTTGTAACAGGGGGAAGAGTAAGTATTTCAATAGTGTTTACTATGTTCCAGGCATTTGACCAAAGTAAGCACTTTACAAATATTACCTCATTTGAGCCTCACAACAACCTTGGCAGGTGCTAATATTATCCCCACTCCACAGTTGAAGGAAACTGAGACAGACAGAGGTAAAGTGACTTCTCGAGAGTCACAAAGCCGGTAGATGTCTACAATCCAATTTTACTTCACGTCTTTATGACTCTAGGACCAGAGCTCTATCCACTGAGTTGTAAAGCCTCATCTCTACCTCATCTTTACCTTTCTGAATCCTGAGCTTCCTTCAAGGCTCAGCTGCCACCACCTTGAGTGATGCCTGATCTCTGGAGATATTAGTTCTGTCTTCTTCATCAAATATTCCTTAGTCTGATCTCTCTCATTCTTCCTTTAATCACTGTTTTGTATCAAATCTATGTGTGAGAATGTGTTGTATTCTCCAAATAGAATGTGAGCTCCATGAGGGCAGGGATTGTTGAGTTTTTACACTATTATCCCCACTTCCCATGGCAGAGCCTGGCACGTAGTGGGACTGCCTTATACATACTTTAGAAATTTAATTGAATGCTGCCTTCCAATCTCTTCCCCCTCAGAAAACTGAATGGTTTGCATTTGGAACCTACTGGCTAAACCAGGCTCCCTCTAGGCAACATTGCAGAAAGACTCTGCGGTGCACATGGGAATGCTGTGTAGCCTGGCTCTTCTTCATAGCACACCTCCACACGATCTGTCTCTCAAACCTGTATTGGTTCAATTCAATTTACCAAGTATGCATTAAGCACTTTCTATGACCTAGACACTGCTGGGCGCAGGGGATACAAAGACAAAAAGCAGAAAAGACCCTGCCCCCAAGGAGTTTACTCTCTACTGGTCAGAAATAAAAGAACAAATAACACATTGTATAGGGCACATGTTTCAGTACATTTTGGGGGACAGGGTTTGCATGGGGAAGGACATTGAACTTGTCATGTCCAATGACCCCGGCCTAGAGTGTCTATTATTTATTAACTGTTTCCTATAGTGCTTTGGAGAGAAAGTGGAGAAAGCAAAACACACTCACATGCTTATACACATACATGCACACATGTACACATATGCACACCATGAAGTTAAAGAGCATACTGCTGGTTGACCCTGCAACCTGAGTTCAAATCTGGCTTCAGACACTTAGTAGCTGTGTGACCCTGGGCAAGTCACTTAACCTCTATTTGCCTTAATCCACTGGAGAAGGAAATGGCAAAACCACTTTGGTATCCTTGCCAAGAAAACCCCATGGACAGTACTAGCTGCTATAGTCCACAGGGTCATGAAGAGTTAGACATGACTGAACAACAGATATATCTTAATAACCTTTCCTTTGTGCTTTGTAAGGTGTTCTCATTTATATATACTGGGACACACACACACACACATACACACACACATACACACACACCCCAATACGGAGAAGGGACAAGCCCATGTATGGGGATTTGCATCAGGGAAACTGGGCCTGAAGCCTGGCTCAGCCACTGACCACGGGTCAGTCCTTGAGGCCTTCATTTCACTTAAGGGCCTTTCTAGTCTCAATTACAAACAGCTCTCCCACTTTCTACCTGTGTGACCTAAGACAAGTCACCTTTTTCTCTGGACGTCACTTTCCCCATTTGTAGCATGAAGAGGCTGGACATGCTGCCCTGTGGGGTCCTTTCCAGGTCTGCATCAATGATCCCAGCTCTCAAATTCAGGGATCCCATGAAAGCAAGAAGCTGGTCCCAATTCCAATTCAATTTTCATTTCCAGAATTTGAGCCAACCCATTTTCACTGGGCTCCACGCCCTGAAAATTGTTCTGCGTGCTCCGTTGGTATCCAGGGTTCCTCTTACAAAAATGGCTTTCAGCTTGTTCAGGTTTAAAAATAAAGCATGAGTTGGTGGGCAATGAGAGGTGCAGAAATGAGGGACCCGGCTCTTTGCTCTCTCATGGACAATACTCCTTGGATCATGAGGCCAAATAGCAGGAGGCAGGCAATGTGGCAGGGGCTGCCCTTGGGGCTTGGGGAGCTGGGGAGGAGGCACCCTGCTGGATGGGCTCCTCTCCTAGTCATGCGCTTCTGTTGATAACAAGCTGTCACCTCCTCTCACCTGATGATGGTGATTTTATGTAACATTTCTATTTTTATACGGCTGAAAATAAATTGTTGGTCTTGCCATGTCTGCTTCTTCCATCATTGTAAAGAATGGTCCTGAGCGATGTTATTTTTTATGTTTGTTTTAATAAGTGTTGTTGATGCTTTCTGTTTTTCCGTAACTGTCATTTGTGGAAATAATCAGTGTTTTCCCTCCCCCTCCCCCTGCAATTTAACTAATCCCTAAAATAAAGAAAAAGAGTTAAGCAAAAAATGCGACACAGTGGCCTAGCCTGACAACGTATGCAACGCTCTGCTGTAGTAGTCCCCCACTTCTCTGTCATGAGAAGGCAGGCATATGGAATTGTCCATTCTCCAGGGCCATCATCTGTTTTTCCGGCTATGCTGATTTTGGCTCCCTCTGAGTGGCCTTGTCCCTTCCATAGCTCAACTCCTCATTTGTAATATTCTTTGGCTTTGCTCCTTTCTTCACCAGTTTAAAAAAAATCTCCCCATGAGAATTGTCTGAATTCCTCCTATCCCTCCTTTCTTATGGCACAGATCATAGATTCAGGGCTGGAGGGGACCTCAGGGGTTACCTAGCCCAACTAGTCCTTCCTTTTCCAGATGAAAGTGAGGCCCCGAGAAGGCAAGTAGCTTACCCAAGGTCACCACGCGAGTGTCACCAAGATGACGTGAGAGTGCTCTGACTTCACACACGGGACTTTGTCCTCTTCCAAATGCAAGTAAAGAGTATAAGATGACCCAATCCCAAACGGCACAAGAAAGTGTTATATGTCTTGTAATGTAGCTTTTAATACCTCCAATAAACACCACTGGGCTTTTTTTTAAGGTAGGGACTGGAAAGAAGAATATCTTGAAAAAGAAATTAATAATGTTAGGTTATCTGGGCAACTCATGAGAAAGCGTTAAGAGGAGAAATGAGAGAACATTTCTTTAATTTAGGTGCCATAAGCAATGACAAATGATAGGAATAGTCAATATTGAGAATACAAAAAGATATATGTATTAACGTACTATTTGTGGAATTTTCAACCTCATTGAAAGCAATTTGGAATCATGCTAAGAAAGTGGCAAGAATGTCCATGCTGCTCGATCTAGAGATTCCATTGCAATTCATATATCCCAAAGACACCAATGGAAAAAGAAAGACTTCATATTGACCTAAGTATTTGTAGCAACATTTTGGGAAGGAGCCAAGAAGTAGAAACAGCTAGGGATGGCTAAACAAACTGTGGTATATTCATATAATGGAATGTAGCTGTGCTGTAAGAAACAATGTTATGCTCAATAAAGAAAAGCATGGGAAGATTTTTATGAGCTGACGCAAAGCGAAGTAAGCAGAACCAAGAAAAAACACTTAATGATTACAACAATAGCAAAGGAAGAAATAATCAAGAATGGCTATAATGAGATTATAATGAATAAGCATGGCCCCAAAGAAGAATAAGAGAAGGCACCTCCCTCTTTTCTTTTCAAAAGTGGAAGACTATGCTGGGGAACAGACAATGTCGTAATTTTTTCCAAGTGTTGATTAGTTTTGCTGAACTGCTTTTCCTGTCTTGTAAAAACTATGTTTTACAGGATGACCCTCGAAGAGAGAAAAGGAGGAAGTGATACATTAGGAAATGTAGATGACATAAAAACAAAAGATATCAATAAGTACTTTTAAGCAGGGTGTCACAAGTGAAGGTTAGACAAACAAGTAGATGGGCTGCAGGAAAGAGAAGATAATTAATAAGCCACACTCTTAGGTGGTTGATTGGTATGACACTGAATCCATAAATTAATTTAGGTAGTATTATCATTCTTATTATTTTAGTATCACCCAACCATGAACAATTAAATCTCTTTGTAATTATTTGTTTTTATGTATGTAAAGATTGTTGAGTTGTTTTTATATAATTTCTGTATTTCTTTTGGTAGAGGTACTCCCAGATATTTTGTTCATATTCTAATTATTTTGAAGAAAATTTCTTTTTCTAACTCGTCCTAAATCTTCCTGCTAGGTTCTGTTGGCAATACACAGAAAGGCTGACGATTATTGTGATTTCATTTTATAGCTTGCTACCTGTTTTCTAAGTCAACTATCATATCACCTGTAGAGTGATAATTTTGCTTCTTCTTTGTCTAAGCAAATTTCCTCAATTTCTTTCTTTTTCTTGTCTTATTACCATATTTAACATTTCTAGAATTATATCAAATAATAGTGAAGATAATAAACATCCTTGCTACACCTATGATCTAAATGGAAAGGCCTGTAGAGTTAATCCCTTACAGATTATACTAGCTCTTGGTTTTGGCTAGACATATTAAGAAACTTCCATGTTTTCCTAAAACCAATTTGTATTAACTCTGCATTCCTGGCATAAATCCAATCTTTACATAGTGCATACTTTTCAAAATATACTGCTAAAGTCTATTTACTAATGCTAGATTCAATATTTTTGCATTGGTATTCACTAGAGAGGGGGGCCTATAATTCACTTTCTTTGCTTTATCTCTCCCTAGTTTAAGTATCTGGACAATATTTGTCTCATAAAAGGAGTTTGCTCAAATCCATCCTTCCTTATTTTTGCAAACAACTCATGTAGTATTTGAATCAGTTGTTCTATGAGTGTTTGAAAGAATTCACTTGTAAATCCTTCTGTACTTGAACTTTTTGTCTTTGGGAGTTTATTTATGATTTGTTTCCAAGACTAGATTATTTACATTCTTTATTTCTAGTTCAGTTAATCTGGAATACTTTATCTGTGTGTATACACATATATAATACAGATATAGATATATAGATAGATATTCATCCATTTTATTTAAGCTAGTAATTCTACTATTTATTGTTTTGAAAAACAATTTCCAATAATTTTATTTATTTCCTCTTCATCTGTTGTAAATTCTCCTTTTTTCATTTTTATAATTTAGATTTCCTTTCTTCTTTGGATCAAATTAGATAGCTGTCTCATTCAAAGAATTAGTTTCTAGTTTTATTTCTTAGTTCAATTATTTTATTTTAATTTTTCTCTAATTTTTTCAGAATAAAAACTTTTATCAGACTTTTGATTCTTGTCATGGGGGAGGATTTTTTTTGTTTTCTTGCTTTTTAGTTTTTTTTTTTTTAGTATCCAGTCCAAATCATTGTCCCCCCCTTTTTTTCTCATTTATTGATGAAACGGTTTAGAGATTTTTTAAAAATATACTAAGAATTTCTTTCTCTATGTCCCAAGTTTTGTTATATTGTCTAACTCTCATTTTCTTTAATGAAATGGTCTAGTTTCTATGTATTGTTATTTGACCCATATATTCTTTGATTTTTCCTAAAAACTAACATGATTGATAAACCATTAGTTATATTCTACTACATTTCTGTACTCTCAAAAAACCAACCAACTATTCATGTTGTCATGGGAGGGGGACGGTACATCATGGCAAAGTAAAAGAATGTAGGAATGTTAGCCAGTCTGGTGGGCAGTAGGTACTCCGTGCCAAGACATTGCTATGATAGTTGTGAAGACCTGCCAGGAAGCCTAAAATGGGTGCTGGTGTTACTGCTGTGTATCCCAGCTGCCTTATTGAAATTGTTTCTATGAATCTAAGAAGGAGATGGGGTAGCATCTGGTTATTGGCTGACTTTACTTGAAACCATGTAACGATCAGCTTGCCACAGGGAATAGCCTTCATATTCTGGTGCCACCTGAAGGCAAAAGACAGCACAATCCATCAGAAACCTACTTCAGTGCAACTAGCCCTGAGCACTAAATTAGGCAAACCACAAATGTACATGAAACTGACTGAAGACATGAACACTTTCATTATTCAGTACTGTATCATAACAAAACTGGAAAAAGATCTCACCAGCAAAGTCTTTATACTACTATCTATCAATGATACCTTTAGCTATAAATCACATAACCACAGATTACCAACCAGTGCAGGGCAATCATTAAAAAAATTAATTTAATTTTTTTCAAAAGCGTTCATCCCTAAGCCTAGATTAAACAACATATGAAATCAAGAATCAGGGAGCCACCAAAATCTGAAGATGCAAAAGGAGGATATCCTAAAATCGCAGAAAATCTCTACTTGAAGAAATTAGTCCTAGAATTAAATGGATAACCAAAAGCACTGGTATTTCAGACTATTTTAAAAAGGAGATGGGTGTACTTAGACTGGAATTCCAAAAGTCTTTATGGAGTATGATGGCATGAGCCCACTAGCAGATCAATTATACCAACACAGACATTCCCCAAAGCTGGTGTTTGCTATCTATCACTCTCATTAACAAAACACATTCTCCCACGGTATTGGACAGAAAGTCTGTTAAAAAAAAAAAAAAAAGAAAAATTCAGGACCTGCACACAACAGTATATATGACAATGTTTATTGAAATAATAATAACCATGGAAGGAAAGGTGGAGCCATCAGGGAATACTGCTAAGACAGGATGTCAAACACCACCATGGCAGAAGCAACTTGAGAGAGCTATATCTAGGTCCCAGTCCCATGAAGTGGTCACATTATTAGAATTCAACTACATGTTTCCACTGGGCTGGAACCAATGAGCATGTTTTCTACAATTATTACTTTGAATAGTACCAATTCAAATACAAAACCCCTTAGTAGGATTCATTACTGTCACTAATTGGAACCTGCCTATATTGAAGAGCTGTGGATTGGCATTGACAGATTACATGAACACTAGCTCAGTGGTATCAAGCTCAAACAGAAGTAAATGACCTGGGGGAGGGGGAAAAGGTGGAGGGAGCAGCTACATGGTGCAGTAGATAGAGCACTGGCCCTGGAATCGGGAGAACCTGAATTCAAATCTGGCCTCAGACACTTACCAGACCTAGGCAAGTCACTTATCCCCAGTTGCCTCTTTAAAA